AGCCAAGGATGCCAACAGCCCCCATGGCCCCTCCGCGTCCCCCCAAGCTCCGGCAGGTCCCAGGGAGTAGCACCTGCAAGCAGGAACACTCTCATCCAAGGCAGCAGTATGGAGGGACAGACTGTGCTGCTCGCCGGATCAGCTCCATCTCCTCAGCCCCTGCTCCTCCTTCTGCTGCCAGAGAGCCACATGCTCCGTCCCCCTCCAAACACCCTCACCTTGCAGATAGGTGAGGTGGGTCCATCCCTCCCAGGAGCTCACAGCCCACCCACCTTCACCTCAGCTGCTCCCAACGTGCCCTGCTGCCAGCTCTCCTCCTCCTCCTCTGTGTCTCCAAGCCTCCCCAGTTCACCTTTACGGGCAGGTCTCGGAGACCTCCCTCCGCAGCACACCCTCTCCCACCCCCACAGCTCCTCCTTGCTCTCCTCCCGGCCTGGACCTGCCCTTGGGCTCGGACCGCGGTACATCCCGTCACCTGGGGCTGGGGGACACCGAGTCCCCCTTGCTGTGCCAAGGAGGGATGGAGACACAGCTCTGCCTGTGTGAAAGGCCCCACCAGCACAGGGAGCTATCATGAGAATGCAGTTTGAGCCCACTGTGATCCCTGAAGGAAGAGCTGATTCCTTTGTTTTGTCAGGCAGGGTCTGGATGAGCTCCTGGGAGCTCCAGCAGCACCCTGGGCCACCCACTTACCCCTGCTGCCTCCACTCCCCCCTAGGACTTGCCAGGGCCATGTCCCCAGTGTGGGGAGGGTCCAGGACCCCCAGGTGACACCAGAAAAAGTGGCTGCACTGCCCAGGGCAGCAGAAGGACCCAGCAGGAGTGTCCACACGGGATCTGGGGCCGTTGCCATTCCCTGCCCACACCTTTGGCACCACTTGTCCCACCTCGGTGTGTGCTGGGGAAGGTGGCAGCAAGCAGGCAGTGCCCTGGCTCCTGTGCAGGCTGGGCTGTGCTCTGGTCCCCAGTGACAGCAGCTGGACCCACAGAGGGGGACACAGCGCCCTGACACCAGCTGTGCCAGGAGCAGGGCCCAGCTCTGGTGACCAGCTGCTCCAGGAGTGCTCCCTGCTCCTCCAAGAGGTGACCCTCCAGCACACTGGGCCAGCTCACCTGGGCACACAGACCCCACCTGGTCCGGGTCCCATCGCCTGCTCCCATGGACACACATCCATCACTGTGGGGACATCTTCAGCATCTCCCTGCAGGGGTGGCCCAGGGGATGGAGAGTCCTCAGATCTCAGACACAGCTCCACTGGCCTGGAGCATCAACCTCCAGATCAGAGCTCCCCTCCACAGGGTCAAACTGCTCCGTTAGCTCTCCCTCTCCGGGTGGAGCAGCACTTCATGACTAATTTTTTCCTTTTCTGGCATATCAGATGCAGCTCTGGGGCAATTCAATTCATCTAAGTTCCTCCTACCCCCAGCATTGCTCTGCCACGAGCTGTGCCACAGTCCCACGCCCCTGCCGGGAGCTGAGCCACAGGACTCCCGGGCCAGCTGCCACCAGGGCTGGGGCAGAGGAGCCAGGCAGCCCCTGGTTACACCTCACGGGGCAAACGGGTGCCCAGGAACGGAGCTCCTGTCCCGCTGCTCCGTGGCTCTCCCACCCAAAGTGTGATTAAGGTATCGCTCAACTGCTACGCCCAGGCTAACGAGCCCCAATTTTGGGGAGGGGTTAATAGATCCTATAGCAATTGGCCATCACCCAGCTCCTTCCCAGCCACCCAGGATGTCCTTCCCATTCTGAGGTCTGGCTCTTCCAGCCCCCCCAGCCCGGCCACAGTCCCCCAGCTGGCTCAGGTCCTCTCAGCTCCAGGAAGGAAAAACACTGCGGAGGCTGCTGGAGCTCATCCCTATCAACACCAGCTGATAAGAGCGTCCTGCTGAGCAGGAAAAGTGAGACCCAAGGGATGGGCAACGCCTCACACAGAGCTGCTGACACAGGAGATGCTGTGCTGGGCAGCCCCACCAAACCCCCAAAGTTGCTTCTTGCAGCCCCTTCCCACATTTGGGGCGCTCACGGGGGGTCACAGGGGTCTCGTGGCATCACGCGACAACCCTTATGCAGGTGGGTTTGTTCCACGCTGGGGTCAAAGATGTGGGGTCAAAGGGGCTGCTGGGGGAGCCAGGGGGTGGATTTTTGTCCCTTAGGCAGGACGGTGTGGATGGAGAGCCTGGGGACAGCTGGGCTGAGCTGCCTTTATGGGGATCACGACTCGTAAACTCAAATGCCAAAGAGCCTGAGCGAGACCTTGCAGCAACTCCTTCCCTGCAGCAGGACCCAGCCTGGAGCACGTGTGGGCACGGCCCTGGGGGTCATCACTGCTTCCAGCCCAGCTGCTGGGGGGGCCCAGCAGTCCCCAGCCACTGCGAGGCCCAGACGAGCCAAGGCTTTGCTCAAGAATTAATGAGCCAAGCCCAGCGACGTCGGAGGAGTCGCCCCCGCTCCGTTTATCCCAGAGCCAGTCGGTCCTTCAGCGCCGAGCAGAGCGCAGGGACGAGGGCACGTGGACCAGGGTGATTCAACATCTGGCCACCAGCTGTTAGTACCAGGGCAGGTAAGTAAGAAGCAGGTGGAGGAGAAGACCTTGACCGGGAGCAGGATGCAGGGAGCATTGTCCTGGGAGCTGGGAGCACTGTCCTGGGAGAGGGATGCTGGGAGCAGAGCTTGCGGTAGCTGCGATCCTGGAGAAATATTTCCCTCTGGTGGATGAACACAAACAGCCTCGGGGCAGGAGCAGGATGCTCTCCCAGGCTCCCCCCGGAGCTGCAGGGTCGCAGGGCTCCCTGCCCGGAGCAGCGTTCCCGAGGCTCTGCGGGGTGGGATGCCCCAGCCTGACCCTGCCACTCGCTCACCCCACCCGGGCTGTGCTCAGCCCACGCAGCATCAGCGCTGTCAGCCCTGACGGCACCGCCGGGCACATCCCGCCCTCCTCGCCCTGCAATCCTGACCTCCCTGCCCTAATCCCCTGCTCCCACGCCATGCCAGCTCCTTCTCTCTCCTTCCTGGGTGTGCCCACACTCAGCACCCACTCCTGGCCCTGTGCCTGCTTGCTCAAACTGCCCCAGCTCCGTGGGGGTGCTGAGCCCTCGGTGCACTCCCACCCTCCTCGCTGCAGGGGAGACCCATCTGCCCACTCCTCGTGGGGGACAGCACATGTTCCAGGCAGGGCTGTGGTCTGGACAGCATCCCTGCCCTAGCAAAGCCCCAGGAGCAGCTGGCATTGCCCTGATCCCAGCAGGAGCCAGCTTGGACCCCAAGCCCCCTGTGCTGGGATGCTCCTGGAGCTGGGTCTGCCTCCAGTCCTGACCTCGGGGAGCACCCTGGGCTGGATGGGATGTGATCCACACACCCTCTGGCCTGGCATCAGGCTGGGAGTAGCTCCAGCTTGGCAGGAAAAACATTGCAAGCTGAACCTTGGCTGCAACCCCTGTCCAGGGCCTCCATCAAAGGGGGTGCCCGGGTGTTTTGTGTGGGGTGAATACTAAACCACTTGCCAGGTCCTAAAACCTGTCCCCAAAGGCAGTGGGAGAGGACCTGGGCTCTGCTCAGCCCCTGCCAGGCAGCACCTGCTTGGAACTGGGGGCAA